GACTTTTACGTGTAAAGAAGTATTTTGAAAATAATGTATTGGTACTTTTATTTAAGTAATGGTTCTGAAAACTTCCTTTACCCCTGGTGCTAAATTATAGTATTTTACTTCTGTAGGTCTCAACTTAGAAAACTTTGTAAGTGAGGATCTGGGCAACACCAGCATTCATGTGCTGCAGGGCAAAGTGAACGTGGAGGTAGTAGAGGAGAAGAAGAACTACACCCTCACACCTGGAGAGCAGATAAAGGTAAAGCAACACACTATAATCACCTTCATAATTATACTGTTAACACACTCAACACTTAACATAATGTGTGTGTGTTTAGGTACCTGCTGGGGCTTACCATAAGGTGTACACAGTGTCTGAGGGCCCGTCCTGCTACATGTACATCTACGTCAACACCACAGAGGCAGCACTACAGGAGAACTTCACCAAACTGTTCGAGCTTCAGGAGCGAGTCCGCAACGGGACAGGTACACATGGCCAGTGGCGGCGCCAGAGATTTTCTTTTGGGGGTGCTGTGGGGTAGCTTGACGTTTCATAGAGGGTGCTCAAACATTTAGGGTTTCCAATGTATGTACCGGTCGCTACAGTGGAATTTTCTACTGCAACATTCCCCACACGCACATACACAGTGTACCCGCGACTCTTACAATGAAGGCTCGATAATCAGTTCAGGGCATATAGGTGTAAGCAGGGGTAAAGTGCTATTTTCGGTGGTGTATGGACCTAACATCCTCTAGAGGGGTCCTAGTTATTGAAGTTCAATGCATCAATCTGGTGCACTTTGAGAGCAAAATTAAGAGATCTCATGTCTCAACACCCATATGAAACAGAACTGTAAACATATGTTCCATTTCTTTATGGATATTTTACAAATTACTCGGTATACTTGTTTTACTGTCATATTGTATTTCATAGCCTACCTGTTTTTCATGTATTCTCTTATTTTTCTATACCTATAATGATCATACACACGTGTGCCTCGGAAATACTTGTTTACATTAATCGTGACCAAACCGTTTGAGACCCACTGAGATAACTTAGACTAAAGTTAACTATCTAAACACTCAGAGAGTCCTTTATCACGGAGTCTCTCAGTCTGACAGGAGAGGACTTTCCCTTCACCTTGTTGTGGAAACAGCTCCTTATATCCATTAAGGCCCTGACACACCTACCCGATTTTCGGGAATTTGCGGCGCCCTACTCAGGTTGGTGTGTCCCGCACCGTCGTTGCTTTAAGGCACATTTTCACACCTCCCGCGGCCGATTCAACATGTTGAAAGACAGTCGGCCAAAGAAATCACTTTGATTGGCTGTTGCCTCTTTTGAATGACGAATACACACTACCGCTGCCTGCTGGTAAGGACAGTTATTGCCACTCGTCGACTGAAGTCTTTGCGGTGTGTTCGTAGGCGGGCAGGTTGGTGTGTAGCGGCCTTTAGAGTAGCTAGCTAGCACCAGATGCTAACAACAACGATCTCCGGTACCGGTGCGCTCTCTCTCTCGCTCGTGCACGCACACAAAATGGCTCGTGCCACACGCACAGAGCCGAGCTTGAATGAAACACAGAGACCCAGAAGTAGGCTACTTGTACTGTGCTGTAGCATATTATTTTCGAATCAACAATTTTTCTAATTATGAATTTCACACATAAAAAAAAAAGCACATACATTTCTTGGAGGTGCTTAGGGGGTGCTATGGCTATCCTAGGGAGCTGCAGCACCCCCTAGCGCCCCCCTGGCGCCGCCTATGCAAATGGGAGATAACACAATAAAAGATAGCACTGTATAGTGAAGTATATAAATATATTGATTAGTGCTGTCAAAATTATCGCGTTAACGGCAGTAATTAATTTTTTGAATTAATTGCGTTAAAATATTTAACGCATTTAACGCATGTGCAGAATGGCCCGCCCCATACATGCCACCAGTGGCAGCGCCAGGGTATGGCTGCGGTAGGCTACACCCATACCAAGAAATGGCTTAGCCCCACCATGAAAAATGATGTTAAAGTAAGCAAAATAAAGTCTGCCAACTCGCGGAGTAAATTGCACAGACAGCAGTTAGTAAGATTGATTTCAGTAGGCACGGTTTTGAAAACTTTTGTCACGTAGTGATCGTCTTCTCAATAGAACATCTTTGATAACGGCGTGGTGTTGTTGCAGGAAGTCCCGACGGAGAATACTTTTGCTGTAGTACAGGGGTGCACATAACTGGTACGCAGGTTATGTGCGTAATCTGAAATGCGTACCGTCACTTGTGTCACAAAGCGCATTTGCGTACCGACGTACTTGTGAAGCTTTTCCAGAAGGCGGTTAGATCACCGGACGACAGAGTCGGTCTCCGTGTGCACAGACAGGGCTGCTGTTAACGTCGGTCTGTACAACGGAATTGTGCCAAAACTACGCCAACCGGCTGCGGAGGGAGACTTCCCCCCCCCCCCTTCACTGGAGAACTGCGCTAAAACAGCTGATCACAAGGTTCACACTCTGTGGTCACGAAGTACTCCACTAGCCGCCGCCGCCGCCCCCCCCCCCCCTTGTCGACTTTCCTGAAGTACTCCCCCGTTGATAGAAATCAACACGTAATGAATTAAGACCCCACGGTTTGATGATTGATAGGTGTGTGGGTTGTCTTTCATTTTGACACGCAGACAAATGTTATAATAAACATAGATACTGTATGTTAAATGGATATATCCGCCTTCTTTCATTTATCTTTCCATTCCCACAACAATATAAATAAATAAATGGCATATTTTGGACATAGTTCGAATGGTGATTAATCATGATTAATTAATTTTTAAGCTGTGATTAATCTGATTAAAAATTGTAATCGTTTGACAGCCCTAATATTGATACAATAATATGCATAGCTGGATTAAAACAAAAATACATTTGGTGGAGGTTAAACCACCATCTCTTAGCACCAGAAATGGATACAATAAATGAAAAGGATCACTGATAAGTTGAGAAAGGAAGATTTGGAATATAAAAGGAACTTTTTAAAATAAGTACTTCACGGCCCCCTTACCTCCCCCTTTACATTATTAGTACAGCTTTTTTAATCTAAACTATATTCAAAATACTCAAAGGTACACCATCTGAACATGTGATAACATCTCCATCTACATCCAAATGTAAAGAAACATTTCCTGAAGAGCGAATTACAATCATGCAATGCTGACTTTATATCTTCCCACAGAAACCGAGCCCCTCCCTCCTGAGCTGCAGCCTCTCATCACTGCAGACGATGAGGGGTCAGAGGTCAATGCCACGGACCCCATCGTGCAGCTGTTCCTGAAGAGGCAGCGCCGCATGAAGGAGGTGAAGAAGCGCAGGGAGGCCGGAGCAGTGGAGCGGCTGCAGCGCTTTGCAGTGAAGAAGTACTACACCATCCGGAGGGGGTGAGTGTCCTCCTCTGACTGGACAGAAACATTCTGCCACAATCACTCACTCAACACATGTAGCATGATAGAAATATTGACATTTTTGTATGATCATGTATCAGAATAAAGTGCTTAATTTATCTGATGATAGAAAAGTCTAACCAGGGACAGCGGTCGCAAATAAGCCCTAGCAAAAAAAAACTACATCTGTTGGAACTATTCAATTTTTAGTTAAACATTTACTTAGATGCTTTTTTGTATATACACATTTTATCATTGTGTAGTGTAATTACTAAGTGAATTTTGGAATGTGTTCATGCATTTGTTTTGAAGGCAGCATCAGGCACAGGCATTTGGGTATTTTTTAGAGACAGGTGGAAGAGTGATTAGGCACCAAAAAAAAGATTATTTATTTTACCAGGGAAAGCAAGGATGTAAGGCCATTATTTGTTGTATATTTGATTGGCGAAACCTAAAGAAAACAAACAGGAAAAACAAGATTCCTGCCGCACAATGGACTTAATCCTGTGTAAGATTTGGCAGCAGTTTGATTTTGAGTTGGTTAATTGTTAGAGTTGCTGCTACAAAATCTTTGTCAAGTGATTGTGGCCTGTTACAATGTTTTTGCGTATGAAAAACAAACTAATAAATAAATTCTTGTCTTTTCACATAAAATTGGACAACCACAAACTAAATTTCTCTGTAATGGTGTCTCATTATCTCCGTCCCCCACTTAAGCCTCCTGATGACAGCCATCGCTCTGAGGAACCTGGCGGTGGGCCTCCCTCCTCTGGAACAGCTGACCAGAGAAGTGGCCTTCGCCAACATGAAGGCGCCCCAGGCCGAGGGGAACCAGGACGATCCACTGAAAGATGAAGTCGGTCATGGAGAACTTTAAAGGCTGGGATGGACCAACTGTTTTGAATGGCTGGATCACACAACAGAGGAGTGTGTGGTTACTACCGGACTGTTACTGGGACGTCGCTGCCCGGAAATCAAAGCTAATTTGATATGCTTCTGAAATATTTCGTATTGTAAAGGCAGTATTTTATTATAGCATTTGTTTACACAGTGGACGTTTCTTTTTTCGCTGTAGCAAAACCAAAACGCTGATTATTAACAGATAACGCTGCGTCTCTGTGCAAGATTACATTTCCTGTTTAATTTTGTTTAAGAATTTTTATAATTGCAATTATGGCTGGGTGACATGACCAACAATAACAATTGACAATTAATTTAAAATGCTTTAGTGCAATATATGAGCTGCTGGAGGATCACAATGTAAATAAGATGAGCTATTAAGCATGTTACTGAACGTGGGACAGATTTACGAACTTCCTGACGATAACAGGATCAGTTTAGTCTATAACTCCTCCCGTTATTTCTGAGATCTTATTTAAATAACTCGGCAGATTCATAATTAAAGTATGCAGTAGGATACGCAGAGGTTTACTCTGTTTTGAGGGAATATATTTGTTTGCTAACCCTGTAATGTGAAAATACAATTGTTGCTTATCAATCAGCAGCCTTTTCTAGTCATTTTTCTAATAAAGAGTTTGTGGCAATACATTGAATGTTTCTTTCTTAATGAGTCAGTCTGATACACAGGTTTTGTGGAAATAATTATTTTTTATTGGTGTCAGTATTTTACATGTCGAGCATCTTAAAGTGCTACAGTAATTCCAGTGTTCACTGTAGGTTGACATGGCATGACACTTTTCACAGAGCACAAATAATACAATGTTACACAATATAAATACATATATAAATCCACAGGATGGATCTCTAGGAAATTATTTGTTAAAACATAAAATCATGTTCTGTTTAGTTGAGGTTAATGCTCATTCCATTCAGTATAAATATGTAGTCATTACTGTGCTGTAGTGGAGGTCCAGTCACATCACAAAGTGTCATCGATAACTGCACAGAAAGCGACGTGCAACATATTGTTTCACAAAAGCTACGAGTCGTTTCAAGTGTCCAGATGGTTTGTACATCACAAGAAAGTATATCAAGACAATCTGTATTTATTTTAATATTGCACAGTGTTTTACTGGTTTAAGTCCTTTAAATCACCACCTCATTTTAAAAATGCTTTCCCTTTGCATGATGGGTGACTCTAATCACCAAAAGTGTTAAACTGGCCATATATATATATATTTATATATAGTGTAAGTTCAACATTAAACTGAACATGACTGTTTTAGTGTCACATACTGGCCTTTTGCAAATGTGTCTGCAACTAGTTTATGTTTGGGAACAATACAGCTAATGAGAAACAGGCTCTACAAGAAGCATTTATATTGAAAATAGTTTTGTTTACATTATTTGCACACACTGGAACAAATGTAAATGTTGTATTTAGGTTTGGCATGTGCTGTAGGACATCAACAAACTGCTTACACCCTGTTATTTGTTCAAAGAGGCTCAGGTCAAATGTTTTTATTTTCTAAAACATATTAGCGCAGAAGGATGCACACATTTTAAATGAAGAACCACCCTTAAGTCTCTCCTTATCTTCTCCTAGGGGGGGGGAGCTCCACCAATTGAACACACCGAGGTCTGTTCACAGGTCTAGAGGAGTAATACTGCAGAAGTGAAAAACGTTGTTTATGGCGTTTAGTTGCTCCAGAGAGCTGTGGCCAATCTGAAAAATCAGATTGTCAGAGCTCACAGATCTCTGATTATCTAGAGGAAACATAAGCTGAAGCTACCTGAATCTACGACCAAAGAGCCAATGGTTGCTTTGCATTGTGGGTAATGTAGGTGCCAGGAAGGGAAGAAGAAATCGTGAAATAAAGAAGATATTTCTCTGGTTCTGCTGCTTTGATTATTTATCATTATTCTGACAATGCATAGGAGTGAAGTGCTAACTAATTACCACCGTCAACACTACAGTTCTGATGTTTAATAAACGAGGTCCACATCACAACTCCAAGTATTTCCACCCTAACATGTGGCACATAGCTGTCAGCTCCCACACAAACACACTCAGGCTGCTGCCCTGCTCTCACTCATTTGGCGGCTCAGAACGAAGTCAGAAACCACAGCCATGGTTCTCTGAAGGGAGTGGCACCTCTCTGCTGGCAGGCCGTGATCCAGCTCCACACTCCAGCCTGTGTTTGTGCTCACAGCCTCCTCTCTGTCTGGAAAACTAACCTTTAGTCCAGCTGGCATCTCCGTCCCCAGAGTTTCAACTTCTATTTATGTGCTGAAAACACTCTTTGATCCGCCTCTTATCTCTATGTTTAGTTTATCCTATTTTTTCTCAATACTTTAATAGAAATAATTCAAATATGAGGTACATTTTATGCTATAATCGGATGCCTAATTCCCCTTTTAATTAGTTTGACTTATAGTTACAATTATATCTGACTAAAAGTGTTTGCTTGTATTATTTTCTCAGGATTCCAAATCCATTCAAGTATTGGTCAGTATTGCTTTTCTTTATTTCATGGTGACTGGTGTTAGTGTTTTATCTATAAAAGAAAAGAAATGCATGGATTTTTAGTTTATGTTTTGAAAATGCGGCTCAGTTTATGTTAACATGTAACGTCCCTCCTGATGAGCTCCTGCTGTTCTCAGATCAGCTCTGCAGCTCTACCTGGGTTGAAGATCTGGGTAGAAAACTCCATGCACCACACCTTCAATCACCACATTCGAAAATGCATCTGAAAGGAAAGAATAGGAGAAAAGTAAAACGTGTAAAAAAGGTAAGAGCATGTAAGTAAGAAGCTCATGTCCACTTGTTACTAAAAAGATTTGTTTGACAGTAAATTAATCCACCACAAACTGTCTATTGCAACATTTCCGGAAAAAACTAAATACATTCCCTAAATATCTAAATTCAATTATATAATTATTGTATAGTTCCAAACATTATTTACTGTGCAGAGGTTTTAAAAGACATATATAAAAGTATCGAAAAACTGATTTCTATGCCAGAGAAGAGAATTATAACAATTGTAAACAGAACTGGCGATCTTTAAACAACCAACATGTTATATATAAACTCACAAACTTATAGATTTGGTGAATACAATTATAATGAATAATTAATGTATAAAGTATTTAACAAGATGTTTCCAGACTGCGTTAAGAAAGTGTTTCAAAGCAGAGTGAGACAGTATCAAGTCAAATGAATTTGCATATTTAAGCATTATTCATGTAATCACTTTTATTTTAATAAGATGATCAAATCTGTATACGGATCTTAGTTTGGCTTTTTTGGAACATGTTATATGCTTCTATTTTATTGAGTTTCTTTCATTGCATTGTTAACATTCAAAGTGTATTGTATTAATACAATTATCTAAAAAGGGCAGGTCGATGAACATTTGGTTTGTAACTATTTCAAAATTATTAATATTTGTTATAATTTGTATTTATTTGAGTTCTATAACTTGATGACAACCTAGATTAACGATGTTATAAGAATGATAAAGCAGAGGTATATAAGGATAGCAGCCTGAACTCACCGTGAGCAGACGGCAGCAGGTAGGGGTCTCTCAGAAACAGCAGGACTGGCTGATGTGAAAGTTTACTGAAAAACAAAGAAAAGAGAAGTTTGTGGGTTTGTGGGCGGCTACAAGCAGCAGATAAACACGATGACGAAAGGCAGGTGGTTTCAGTGACATGCTGGGTGAAGATCAACAGCAGAGCAAATAGTGACTCTGACCTGCGGCTGCAAACAATATATTTATATACGGCTCACCTTGATTCCTCTGATTCTGTATCAAATGACCTGAGAGAAGAAAAATAAAAGCTAAGCCAAACAGCCTTCCAGTGGTATGGTAACAAACTCTTACACAGTTTTAAAAAAGGAATACAAATGGTCTTTAATTCCACAGCTTCAACTCACCCACAGCTTTCTGTTTTTGGCACTGAAGGAAAATGTCGGATATTCAGGAAATCCAGGAATACCTTTGGAAGGACTCCATTTTCCATAATTATAGACTGAGAAAAGAGACAAAACAAAAGCACATGAACAGCCGTAAACAACCAAAGCAACCTGAATGACCTTTTGAAGAAAACGATTTGAATTTATTTTAACCTCCCTACATCTATAATGTTTTTTACTTTTAATTTCAGATAGACTACATCTGTATTAGGATATTGACTTTACAGAGACACCAAGTGAAATGTTACTTATACAAAATATAAATCCTCCACACTAGACTCTCCGACACCTACAGTACACAAACATAATACCACAGTATACTTAATTAAATAACAAGGATTTTAAAAAATAATCAAAAGTCAGCTTTATTTCTATACAAAATATGTATTACAGCTGGAATCTGCTGCATTACATCCATGCTTTAACAGCACACATATTTTCAGGAAAAAAAACACCTTAATGGGAATCATTTGAAGAAGTTACCTTTTAAATCAATCTTATTATTCCCTAACAGGATCAGTTGTGGTGTCGTATTTCTATAACCATGCTGATTAGACCTCAATCATGTCACATGTGTCATCATCATGTGTCCTGTACAGTAGAGCAGGGACTTTCATTTCTTAAACTCTTCTTAAAATGTCTTGTTTCTTTATTTTCAGTAGAGCCGTAGGGGTGGAGGTGTTTACCTGCAGGTAGAGCTCCAGACCGAGCCTCCGCTGCTCCAGGACTTTAGGAACCCAGTTTCTGACATGTTTGGAGGGCATCTCAGGCGGCTTTATGCTCTTCTTTAGCTGGAGGGTCACAAAAAGAAAGAGAATTATAATTGACATATTTTGGCGTTTCCTGAGATGTGTGGGGAAAAAATGCATGGGTAATGTTTTCCCTTCATTAATGTCCCTCTCCACGTCCTTTAGCTTTTGTCACACTGACTTATAATAACAAATTGTAGATTAGTCTCCCTCTCATAACTATTGAATGAAATCAATAGTAATCAAATTCAGACTTCCATAAAGTGGCTGCTTATCACATTTGCAGTAGATATGGGTCCATTGATCCAATTTGTTAGGAGAATATTTCTAACCAAATTATAGCAACGTTTGCAGTTTGGAAGGGTATTAATATTCAGGTTTTTTTGTCTGTTGATGGTGGTTTCCTTACAGCATGCCCAATATGAGGAAGCAGCTAAATGGAAACCAGCCATAATTCATTTGACTATTTACCACTATGCTTTTGAACGTTTCACATGTTAACAGTGGGCTGCACTGAAATCGAACAACATGTCGACTAATGGCCAGACAGGAAGAGGAACTTGTCTGTAAAGCTATAACCTCAAACAAAGTGCTATGGTGAATGGTTAACCACCAGAAAGCATTCATCATGTATTCATTTGCTGCTGTGATTTACTGATCCTGCGTACAGTCAGTGTACAGAATGTAACACCAGTAAATAAGCATGTTCTCTGCAGACTAATGTATTACATATTTTAGTTGTAATGGGTTATGTATATCAAGTTGTGTGTATTTCATTTATTGGTTTTTCAAAAAACTATCCCAGCAATTAAAGATGGGAGATCATAAAGCCAGAATTGTCATATTAAAATTGCAGATAAAAGAAAAAAAATCGCAATTCATTAACTGACTAGTCCTTTTGACAAGTGATGCTATACATATATTATTTATTTATTTAATCGTTTATTTGGCAGGGACAATGCACAGTAATGAACACTTAAAACATTCAAATGTGTCAAGCGTAACAGTGCCAGATTTAGCTTTGAGCTCATTTCCCTCACATAAAACATTTAAGAAAATTACATTATACAAACATAGCAATTATTAAAACAATATATATTCAATTATATATTAAATGTGTTATTGCAAAAAAAAGCATCAAATGTGGTGGTTAATATGTCAATCATAAATATTTGTTCGCCCATTAAAGACTAAGGTTAAAGACTTGAACATTTCATTTGAATTTGATAAGAAAGGAGGACTTTGTTGACACTTCAAACCAATACATATTCAGTAACTTTGGGGATGCACTGAACTCACCATTTTATGCAACGTGTGGAATTCACTGTAGCGTTTCTCGACAGCATGTTGTCTGCCGTTCATCAGCACGTCAATTCTGAAGACCTGCAAGAAAGAAAAAAGTTACTACTCTCTGCAAAAAGTCTGAGTTGTGTTGGTGAGTCAGTTGAGAGAATCCTGAATAATCACCAGAACTCATCAGACCAAAATGGCCCCACCCTGCGCTGCCAGTGTGTGTGCGCGCGTGTGTGAGTGTAGAGCTGTCAGTAACTGTGGTGTCAGCGTGTTACCAAGAGGAAACATCTGTCTGTTTTAAAAAATGTGATCTGACAGAATAGCTGAAACATCCCTAACAGTCTTCTACTTCCTCCCTGGCTCTTCTTGTCAGCATTATATAAATGAGGAAATCCAGTCTGAAATGACGGCAGACAATGGTGTTACCTCAATTCTGTATTTGACCGACACAAACTGCATCTCCTACGGCTGAGAGCCAATGAATCCGAATAATGAACCAATCAGAGACTTTTCAATAACATGATGTCTTCACTTGGGAAAAACAGCAATAATAAGGTTAAAGAAGTCCCAAAAGCTCAAATTATTCAGTGTGTGCTTCTTATAACTCTTGTTTTCTCATTGAAAAAGACATTCAGTCATTTTGTTCACACTGTCGCGTTAACACAGGAAGCGGCCTTTAAACTGCTGACACTGTATTTTAACTGCACTGCCAAAAGCACTGGTTCTCAACTGGTCAGGCCTCGGGACCCACTTTTTTCCTTTGTCAATAAATCGCGGCCCAACATTTTGAACCACTCAAATCTATTCAACAAAAAATCGTGCTATAATATAGACGCTTTTCAGCATACAATATTAATTAAAGAGAAGTACAGTGCATATATCCCTTATATCCCTTCACAGAACTAAATATGCTTTAAAACCCAACCCCAGAAGAATGGTCTGGGGGACCCACTTTTCGGTCGCGACCCACCAGTTGAGAACCACTGGTCTAAAGCAATGTCTCTCACACCTTGGGACAAACTACACAAATAAAAATGTATGTAAATTAAGATGGACCTTTATTAATCCCTGTGGGGAAATTCAGGAGTTTGAGCAGCAACAGAGTAAGTGCGAAATTACAGATTCACAAAATATTAATAAAATGTAAGATAAAATAAAAATTATATACAGGTAAGTAGCTATTAAAACAATAAATGAATTAAATGAACATATATATTTGAATCAATAATATTATTGTAAAGAGTGCCTTTACACTATATTTTGAGGGTTTGCTGTGCAATGAATTGAGGTCTGCTGCTTTACTTATCAGTCTGTATTTATGTCAGACAGCTGGAGATCCTGGGTGTGTTTGGATAAACTAAGACACACATTTCTGCCAAAACGTCTCTAAAATCAGCAGGTTAAGTTTTCTCTGTGTAATAATCCCAATTTGAACTGATTTGTACTGTGACATGTTTACAGTGTAACAAGGCGAGTTCAATGCGTTGCAGCAAAACAGACAGGAAAGCTTATATTAAAGCGACATTTACTTTTTAGCTTGATTATAAAACAGACGATTGATAATTATTTCGAGGGAAGATAAATAACATGCGAGTAAAAATGAAAAGTGATGACAGCAGCAGGGCAGACACACACACACACACGCACACACACACAGAGGGAGAGAGGAAGAGAGAGCGAGAGAGAGAGAGAGAGAGAGAGAAAGAGAGTGAGAGAGAGAGAGTGAGGAAGAGAGAGAGAGAGAGAGAGAGAGAGAGAGAGAGAGAGAGAGAGAGAGAGAGAGAGAGAGAGAGAGAGAGAGAGAGAGAGAGAGAGAGAGGTTATTTGTTAAGCAGCTTACCGTGTATCCTTTCTCGATCGAGTTGTTTTCGGAACGAAACGAAGGGATCGACACTCTCACTGGATGCATTTTAAATTGAGAAATGAACAGTTTTCCACGTAATTTGTTGATCGTATGGCACACACACACACATACACACCCACACTCACACTGCTGGTGGTGGACTCCAGTTTTTTCAGCAGCCAGAGGAAAATCCAAGGATTCAAACAACATGGAGCCTCAGAGGCGCCCCCTGTTGGCCCGGAGGACACTGATTCTGATTTTATTTTTTATTATTTCTTGTTTTTAATCATAGTCTATGTTTTTTAATTAATATTGTTCAATACACATTATGTGAGCGAATGAGGGCCACATTTAGTTTTTTTATCTTACCAAAAGTGTTTTTTTAGGTTTTTTTTCAAATAATTCTTAGATAAAACCATAGACTGTATGATAAAACTCAGAACCAAAATAAAAACATACAAGGAATTTGCTTTGGTGTATTTTGCTGCAATGATAAACACAACATAAGGACGTTTTAAGAGATCAAAAATAGAGCAGTTATCAAAAGAAAATATATATAAAAAAACGTTAAAACATTAAAAAGACTAAAGACAAATACTTACAGAGAATATAAATATATTAAAACGTAATACAATGATTATATAACAGATTACATTTGGAGTGGTTTTCTTTTTAATACTGGTAATAGTTTTAAAATGTTTTACAATAGCTATGTTCCTCTAACTGTTTTTATGTATGCAGTATGCACCATTATACACCAAAATAACTCCTTGTGTGTATAAATACTTGTTATTTAATTAAAATGCTGATATGTTTATCACTTTAATGTTGCAGCTTTTAAAGGTTGAGCTAAATTTAACGGTGTTGTATACTGCTGGGCGGCATAATCACATATGAGAATGTTTCATGGGCTTTGTGAACATGTAATGATTTATTGGATTTATTCAAATGTAATCTGAAACTTTTGTAGTTTCCAGCTTTTTTAGGCTATTTTTGGTGTCAAAATGTGTGATTAAGAAAATAAGAAACAAAGATAAGACAGCGAAATAACTTCAGACTGTTGAGTCCACAACAACGATACAGTGTCACAAAGTTTTATTCAACTCAGTTTCAACAAAAGCTTTGGAGTAAAGAGAGTTTCATCCATTGCATATAAATATACAAATACATTTTCCTTTACAGTTCATTTCAAATAGTGATATATAATTCATGTTGAATTATCAACAAGGGTAAACTGGTTTACATTTTTAACTTGCTAAGCTTCTAAATATCATGGATTTAATTCCTTAACGATCTTACAAGTGGTATAAAATGCAGAGAATACAGTACAATGCAAAAGAAGTAAGACATTTAAACATGTGTAGAGAAATAGGAGATAAGAATAGACCTATCAGTGTGGAGAAAAAACGTTTTACTGGCACCATGACGTAGGATAGTCCTTATTTCAAAAATGTTGAGTATTTAAAAATTATAAAATGTATTATTAAGATGTGTTTCGTGTTGTTTTATATGCAGTCCTCTGCATTGTCAATTACAGTACATCTCGCTGAGTTGCTGTGAAGGACTCTTAATACCTGAGAAAAAAAGAATAAAATCATGATGAGGATTGATGGAGGAGGATACAATGCTTTAATACTTTCACCTGGCTGCTATATCGATAAACTGTTACTGCTACTGGATGGGTATTTTGTAAATCGTGTAATTTCTAGCTTTATCTTTTAATATTTTTATGCAGGCATCTTGGGTGATATTAAGCTATCTTTGGCTCTTAACTTGCTGTAACAAATGTACATTTCCCCTCTGTTGGACAAATAAAGGTATTCTCATTCTGCTGAAGAAATATCAAAACCATAAATGTTACTTAGGGTTTGCTACTCACGATGACAGGTGACATCCTGAGACGTGGGCGTAGTTGCCGGTGTACTGGACAGCACAGCGCACAACGTTGTTGCTGTAGTCTGACTCTGGGACATGATAGTTGGGATTTACATTGATCTGTTGTAAGAAGTAACACAGCAACAAAGGCAAATAAACAACAAAGACTCCAATCAAATATTCAAGGGTTCAAGGTGATTCCACACAAGTGTAACTGTTCAAATGGGTCAGATGTCTCGCGAGGCAGATAAATGTCATCTGGTATTTCTGACAAACCTTCAGGATATAGTCTCCAGCCTTCACATCTGTGATGTCGATCCACTGGCAGTCGATGTCTGCGTTGTAGGTATCATAACATCCTGGGCTCAGACCCTGCATGTTGGACAGCATCCACGTAAAACATCGTATGAACAAACTTTTTAAACAATGTGAGGGCTTTGTGTATATAGAACGGTCGGTAACTGTAACAAAGATTCTATTGTTTTAAAAGAGTACAACATCTACGTTTTATGATAAAAATAAATAATAAATTAATAGTGAAGTCAGCTTGGCAAAACGTTAAAAGAGAATGGAAGAATAAGTAATGTGCCAGTAACAGGAAATTATTGAAATATTACTGGCTCATGCAAAAAGGAAATATTAAAATGGTTCTTTACAGGACAGCTGCCTCAAGATCATTTGTTTTTCTAAGTTCAAGTCTGGTTTACAGAGATTTGTGAACCAAAACCATGCAACAGGGTCTGTCAATGAGAAGTCATCATCCTCTAATTTGGAATGAACCGACACTAAATGGAAATGTGAATGTGCAACATGGCATCAAAATAATTTAAAGTTATTTCCTATAGCTATACATCTTGTGAAGTGGATTTTGTTTTGCAACTTTCATAATTCAAGTAATAGGCCTTTTTCCAGAAGATATTTTGATATGTCAGAGAAGGTACCGTATAAATAATAAAATAAATGTAATCTGAAGTCCTGCAGCTGCTTCAGTTCCACCGTCCTGTTATTGTGAGGGCTGGCTCACTGTCCTGACTTACTGCTACACATGTTGCATTCATGTGGTGTCGGAACAATCGTAAATATCAGTTCCCAAGTGGGACAATGTATGTGAACGTGACATCAAGTCAGAACAACAACTCCAAAAGTTGTTCCTGCCAAGTTTGCGTCACCAGACAAAAGCAAATGTTGGGTTGATAGTAAGAAATGTTTTGTTAATTCCCATGATGTTGCATATCTATTTTGCTCACATGTTTTTTAGTATGGTATTATTAGGTTGTTACTGTAGGTTCCTTTCCACATAGAGATCGTTTTTTATTAGCCTTAACACTGATAAGAAGTAAGGTAATGCAATATTTTTTGTGGTTAAAGGGAATGCAACGCTAGTTTCACTAAAAACAATTCTACAATACAACATAAAAGAGCACACCGAAATCGGTAGAATGTCTTCCCAACTTTTGCTGGACCATCAGAGAAGCATGTAGGCTACTATTGTTTGTATCATTAGAAATGTATATAATCGCTTTTCGTACGATGAAAAGTCAAAATATATGCAGTGAAAAAGACTTATCTTTACACCCATATGCTAATCTGATGTACAACAGTTTTTTGGTCATTGGGGTCCTTTCAATCCTGTTGTAATAACCAAGCAACGCAGTGCAGGGTATACAAGTGTAGCCATTAAAATAAATGCTTCTCCAGGGGTGTTTATAAAGACTTTAACCATGGCAATAACTCTTGGTTTAGATTGTCTATGTGTGCACGATGACTGTAATTCATGATTACATTGTTCTTGCTCTAGGAGCTAACTGGCTCCATACACCATATCATGTTCCATGGGAAAGGAACCCACTGACCCTGTTCATAAAAAAGTCAAGTAATACTTTGCTAATAAAGAAACATTTCAGTTTAAAAGTCTGCAACATTTAAAAAAACATTTTACAGGAATGTTTTTGACCTGGCTATGTGAGGTGCAGGCAAATCTCCTGTAGTAGCCGTAGTCACAGGAAGTGTCCTCCAGGCAGAAGCTAGCCTTGTGGCCCTCAGCCACCGATTGTTGGGTGGAGGCGTCCAGCAGTTCGTAGTGGCTGAACTCGTCCATGCTGTGGAAGTGCCTGTGGAGCAGCAGGGTTCATTTTTAATGTAAAGCGAAGGAGGTCCACATCAATCTGGGACTTATAAAAACAAACAGACAGTTAGTCAAGACCCACCAGAGAATGTTCATGAGCGCAGTTACACCACAGTGAATCTGAGTTTACTTCCACTTCATTATGTTAAAGACAGTTTGTTTTATGATAACATAACAGTCTGAATCTTAGCACAAGTTTACTTTCAAAACACTGACAAGTAATATATACAGTCCACATCAGCAGTGTGTTGGATCTCTGCCAAATGCGCTCCTTTTCGGGAATCAGCGCAGTGGACCGATTGTTGCACAACATAACTATGGGCTGAGGTAGTTTCTGAGGAATCAAGGAAAACTAGGCAGCTTTCCATAAACTCAATAAGAAAAGCAGCGGTTCCCCTTTCTGGCTCATTATCCTCATCGCACTACTTTATTTTACAACATCTGGCTTTGCAGCTGTAAATTAAGTGAATTGAAGGTCATATGAAGTGCTTCTTTTAAAAGGTGTATTTTACTGCCTTCATGCTGAGATTGCATTAATACAAAATGACACCTATAATAAAAGCTCTGATATAAAAAGTGATAAGCCTATAAAAAAGCTTACAAAAACTATAAGACAGCCAAAAGTAACAACTGTGGTTCAGCAGGGGGTGCCATACCTCAACTACAGACTGGAAGAATACAGTGGAAAAAAAACCAAATAAATTAGAAAAAACAAAGAGTTAAAAAGAGTGATGTGTGTCCAATTCAATCTCGTGAGAAAAACAATTGAGCAATGCAATAAGTCTATATCTGAGTCAGACACATCTCTTGATTTCAGCATGTTGGCCAGTGAGGACAAAGGATGTAAAAGTCTCTCTGTGATTGATGGTGAGGTGGACATGACGTTATACCCACTGGTGACAGCTGTGCCACTCCCAGGAGTAACGTGGCCTGCTGGGGAGGAAGTCCGCTGTCCCCTGGTTCTTCACTCTCTGGGGAAACCTCAGCAGCATGCGGGTGTCATAATCTCTCACACTGCCTGAATAGGCCGAGCTGCAGGCACACAGAAGAAGAAAACACAAATCATACGTTGATACAGTCCGTCAGGCGCGTTCACACCGCAGTACTTTTCCCACTTTAGTTCCGATATAGTTCCGAAATGTTGCGTTCACACCAAAAAGAGCCGGAACTCAAATGTGTTCATGAGAACCTTTTCACCCCCTTTTCCGTCCCAGCGCAGGGACTTTCGTGGGAGAAAAAGGTTCCTATGTCTGATTGGCTCGGCGGATTGCAAACCACGCACCGTAAAACTCCCAAAAAGTTTTGTGAAGCCGCCATTTTATTATCCTCGCATTAGCATTATTAGCATTAACATTAGCATTAGCCCAGCGCAGAAACACAGAGAGACTAACTTATGGCAACACAAAATAAAACATGGGAGCGGTGGAGATGAGGAGGTGTCGGCGTTCTGGCGATTTACTCCCAGCAGATTCTACTGAAGCCAGTCCCCAACTCCCGGGACTTCCGGCCGGGGACTTTGGGCGGCAGTATACGCCGTGAAGTGGTTTGCGGACTGCCAGTAAACCCAAAGCAGAAGAAGAAGAAGTGACGTCAGCGGCTTCATTTGCCTAATCCTCCCCCAGGGACTTATTCCGGTGTGAACGCGATCTGTACTTAGTTCATGAGAACTAAAGAGTTCATGAGAACTAAAGAGTTCATGAGAACTAAAGAGTTCTCATGAGAACTAAAGAGTTCTCATGAACTAAGTTCTCATGAACCTTTGTGGGAAAAGTACTGCGGTGTGAATTGTTTTTCCTGCTAGATCCCTTCTGGGTGAAAGCCGTCTATGGTGGGTGGAAAAACAGTCTGTAGACACGTGGTTGTTTGGTTAAGCTTTCGATAATGTGTTTACCATTTGGGCTTTCTCCTCAGGGAAAACTATGATTAAACAGAAATCCTCCACCACCCACCAGTAGGCGCCATCAGGGTTAATTTTACCACATCTTATGGCTCCACTGGGCACTGCATGCCTCACCCAAAAACACATAAAGCAGTCGTTATGGTGCATATGTCTCTGAATCACTCAGACTTGGATGCAAACCCTGTCTTTTCTCTCTGTCTCTGTGGATTAGTCCTGACAGAAGTGTACCTTGACAAACAGTTCTCCTCAGATGCACATCTCAGGTTGTACATTGGGACTCTCTGGACATAAGAAGAGGATTCAATGTAGTACGGGTCAGGTACCAGATCAGGCAGACCTGAACACAGTAAAAAAAACAAAAGGGGTACATCAAGCATAAATCAAAATCTGAATGAATGTTTCATACAGTAAACATGTTAACAGATGCACATAGAGCTAAAGTGAGACAAGATAGACAAACAAACACACAGAAAGACATACAGACAAAAAGGATCCTAAACTCCTCTTTATAGGTTATATATCTATCAAATCATTTTTTGTTTTGGGAACTCATACCGTACTGGTGATTCCTTGTGCCATATCCGGGTCTAGATCTCTGCCTCGGTCTCTCATACACGTCATAGTGATTATGATCGGTGGACTTGTAAGGGTCGTATGGATCATCCCCCACCATCATGTCTTCTCTCCGGGGCAGAGGTGGACTGACACTGGGCTTTTCCTGAGTCTCATTGCTGCTCCTCTGCGTCCCCGTGCGCTCACCGGCCCCGTCGCGGTGATGCTGGCGGTGCTCGTGCCCCCTTGCGAGCCTTTGGAGCGGCAGCGGGAGCCCGCGGGAGCTTTGTGGGCTGGACGCCGGCCCGGGGGACTGCGGGGCCACCGGCTGGCTCCGGGGTTCCTGATGTGTCACGTCCGCATCTCGGATGATGGTGAGAGGTTGCGCCTGCACTTGTTGCTGCGCTGCGCCCCTGCGCCTCCCGGGCTGGTACTGCGACCCCTGGCTTAAAATGCTAAACACCTTACCGTTGTGGGCCCACTGTAGTGTCTGCCGGAGAGCCGCTCTTTGGTTGTTCCCTTGTTGAGTCCCCGGATTCGTCTGAGACTGTGCAGTTTGCAGGATGGAAACCAAAATGTAGACGCACGCATATGCGTAAAGTGGCGTGCCAAGTGTGCGTAATCCCATTGTGACCTGTATTAAAGGAGATGTAATGGTACAACGCAAATACTTAATAATAAACCAGGGTTGCAAGTTGCTTTTAAATATCCTTCCTTTCCATTTGAAGGATATTCAATGAGCAGAGAGGCAGTTTAAATGTATCCGTGTAAAGTCATATCGCTCTGCTCCTGCAGGAGGATGATTATGAGGAGGAGAAGGAGGAGTTCAGCATTTTTGAATTTGTTACACAAGTCTGATGATGCTGCTGCTCATAACCACTAAACGGATACGCGTGTGTGATCATGTCCAGCCAAAAGTGTTTGATAACGGCTCTTACTCCGAGAGGTGTGTCAGCGAAAGACAGTCAAACTTGTCCTCCCTCACAAAAGAACAGATGCATATTTTGAATCAAAACAGCTAGAGAAAAACAGACACAAAGATGATGATGTTCCCACTTTGTTATGATGCATGGGTTTTATATAATTATGCTCGGAATAAATGTCTGTATATTGTCCTCATTTATTCTTTGTCTGCTCAACAAAAAGTCATGATAGATAGCTTTTCCCTTGACTGTTGGATGAACTCCTAACCTAATTGCAGCACCCTCTGCCAGAAGTCTGTGCACTGCACTTTCTCATAGCAGGATCTGAGAAACCTAAACAGGAATGGTCCTGCATCATTTTCAGTTTTCTTCTGGGAAAACGTCTCCCACAAACTCCCTCCGCCCAGCTGTCTGTGCTGCAGCCCTGCTGACGATGTGAAAGACTCATCACGTCTCACAGTAATCTTCTATAAGGTCATAATCACTTTGTTCTGAGCAATAAACAAAATGAGGCTGTGGTGATATTTGATCTGCACTTGTGCGTCGGGTGGCAGGCTGGTGACGTTTTTTTCTACAATTTTCTCCCACGTTACGTTTGTTATGAACGTATCTTAAATGCGTTTATTTTCTACATATATTTGCCATTTATTTAACCCTAACCCTAATAACCCAATAAGCTGCTGTGTCGTTTATTGCACCGCAAACACTAAAACTGTCATTGGAACGGCGATCAAGCCTGAAGCCACAGAGCTCATTGTTTTAATGTTTGAGGTGCAATATCAGCGTATCATATGCACGCAAAATCTGACTTCTGCGTATCTATTGCACGCCTTTGCAAAGTCGTGTCATTTGTACGCAGAATGTGAGACCGGGTTGTGTGACCCCTCACCCCTCTCCCGATGAGGGCAGCTCATTTGCTGCAGCCCAGTCAAATCACCGCCCTATGTTAACACCAGAGCTGTAATGCATGGACTGGGAAACCTAATCTAAGGTTTTAATTTCCCTCTGTCTAGCAAACTAGGAAAATCGTTTAGGACTTCAATGCAAAACAATTGGATTACAATGTTACAACCATTAACTGTGCTGTTATGTATATTTACCAAATATAAATAATAGAAGTCCATAAGCAACAAGTAATGAAATCTATGACAGACAGATCAATTAAAGGGTCCCGTATCCTGTAGTCACTGTAGGGGGAAGATAAAATGGCAATCATATTAAGTGCTGTATATACCATTTTCTTATCAGAGATGTTATGAAAGTGGGAGATTATGGGCGTGGCTTAAGCACACTTAACTTTCTCATCATATTTCTTCCGATTTCTTGTATCTTTCATTTGAAACAACTAATTCTAGAATTTCAAACATGCAGAACAAATGACCATAACTACATTTCTAAAAGGGGGAAATTAATAATCTTTTTTCTCAAAGTAATGATAAACCTGTGAGTTGGATATAGAAAAGTCAGAATCAATATGTTTTTTATTTTAAAGAAAATTCAGATCGAACATAGTAAAAAACTGTAAATTATAGTGTCCGTCCAAAAAAATTTTTTTCGATTAACTGACTCGTAAATACCATTACCTGCAGATTACTGCCACTTCTAGATCAGGTAGTGTGAAACCATTGTCAACAATCTATATCATGTCTTGCTCATGCGAGAACAAAGTAAACAGAGGCCCATTCATAAAAACGTTGCCCCAAAGCACTACTCGTGGTCAAAGATTCCACAAGGTACCTTTAACTTTAAATCTGGCACATTTCTAGAAGGAGAAATACAGAATAAAACAAGCTTTCAGGGGCTCTAAGCACAATGTGATTTATACATGAACTTTTATGATTCTCTATTCTGCCCAAACAGTAGCTGTGAAAGAGATTAAGATCCAAAATTGGACTAAAAATACTTTACAGTCTGAGAATGGCTTTAATGGCAGGGTACACAAATTAAATCAGGGGCCGTTTCTCAATCTCGAGGATACTGGCTTCCAAGCCAATATTTCAAAAATGCTACGTCATCGAGTGCCGCCGAAGGACTGTTCCAATGTCCAGCATGGAATTCCACCGAGGCTGCGTCCTTGGTTTGGGGGAAATTTCGAGGCTGCACATGGGTAGACTTCGCGTCCTTAAAATCCCCACAATGCTTTGCGCACGGACCAATTTCAAAAACCCTTGCGGAGAATGGCTGAACCGACGCAGCACATACATACAGTAGGTATGTAGTGGCGTAGAACATGTGTTGGTAAATATGTTACTTTGTTACATTTGTTTGTTATCACCAAAAATGTGTTCCGTGAAAGTAAAGCAAGTTTATAATTAGATAGACATCGTGAGGTATTTATTTTCGGTACAGTTTATGTTGAAATGGTTAGAGAGAGTGGCACACTTGTTAGCCTGTTCCATTCTTCTTCGTTTTCCGAAGCCGTGGCTTGGAAGCATACTTGCTTCGTTTCTGATGGAAGTGACTTGGAAGTACGCGACTACCAAGCCAGCATCCTCGAGATTGAGAAACGGCCAGGCTGTAAATGACAGTTTAAGCATGTGTATTGTTCTTGGATCACGGAGGGTGCACATCAGTTTTACATTTCAGGTTGTGTAAGCTCTAAGGTCCAATCAGAGCCTATCAGAGCCAAGCTGAGTTATCTGAACCCCTGAAAAAGAATCCTCCCTGCAGATGTGTATGAGTTGTTAAAGAGTTTAAGATAAGAGGGAAATGTGTGATACTGTAACAAGACTCCAGAAGCTCACTTGTTCACAATTTTCAGTTCCCGAGGACTAACAAATGGCCATACGAAAATCTTTCCAAATAAAGTCACAGCTATATTGAGAATAAATGGGGGGGCTGAAAAAAATGTTACTTTTTGGCCCTCCGGTCGTTTTATTTTCATTCTACTAATTAAGATTGGTTTGCCTATAAATCACCTACAGATTAAGTTTGTTTTCTATTGCAATTGTGTTTTCCTTTGAGGATGACTAACTTACACTGGTTTAATTCTGCCCACACAAAGTGAAAACTATGTGCATGTGGTACCGTGTTTCCTCCTCAGACAGAACCAGCTGTACCGGGTTGATGATATTTTTTTGCTCGTAAGTCATTGGACTTTTTTTCTATGTGCAGAGCCCTTATTCTCTCCAGCGAGGGCAGCACAGTGTTCCCCTTTAAAGCTCAAGAGACACATCTGCAACAAATTAGCCAAGTTCTTTTGTCCACGTTGCTGGAATTCACCCTCCATTTCTGATACTTCTGAGCAGGCTGAAAGAATTGAACGTCTGGGTTGCAAACTAGGAGGGAAAATAGTGACAAGGCCTCCTGCATGAGACACATCATTGGGTACAGAGGGAGAGAGGATGCTAAACTTACCATAAAACAAACACCAACTATTCCCTGCCATCACTGACTCAACATCTGGCAGACATTTGTCTCGTTGCTTGAGATGTGACGTTTGAGCTGTTAAGCATGCAGCCAACGCTTAGATTTTACACAGATATAGTTATCATAGTATATTCTGCATATGATATAAAATATATCTGCAACTTCAGTGCTTACATGTCAAATGAGGGTTGCCTACAATTCAGCTGCAAGAGTATCAGTTAAACTAAGTATTATTTTCTTCTGCAGTTCTGATTTGTTTTTCTCTCTATTTGCATTTAATTATTCATTTTCATGCCATCATTATGATCTCATCACAGTGAAACAGGACCAAACACATCTCAGAAAACATCCAGAGCAAGACCTACATCCTCTGCTGATCTCCTTACAGCTTTTTCCACTCTTCCATCCATTTGCAAAACTCAGCAACAACCTCAGGTTCATCTCAGCTCAAAACTCTATGGCAGAAACAGACAATTCAAATATGTTCTCCTCTTTCATAAATACTAGGTTTCCATTACTGTTAGCGCACCACAAAACACACACACACACACACACCACACACACACACACACACACACACACACACACACACACACACACACACACACACACACACACACACACACAGAGTCTGGTGGACTACGTGGCATTCTGCACATACACTACACTCTAAAAGCAGGAGGAGGAGCGCTTTGTCAGGTCACAGCCCAGAAAACTTTACATTGTGCAGTAATTCATGCATATACTATTTTTTTTCAACTTGTTTTTGCCCCAATATGTCTGCCGATCCCAAAACCACAGAGCTGAAGGGAAAACTTGCTGTTAAACCAGTGATAAAAAGAAATTGTTCTGTGTCTTTCTATTTGGAAAGATAATACCAGACTAAACAGTGAAGGGCTTAAGACATTATTCACACTAGAAGTCATTGTTGTTTTTGTGGAAGCCTTAAAACTCCACTTTTCAATGAATAGGATGTTGATGCCTTTGGTAGTGGTTAAAATGTCAGCGGTACAATGTGAAACAATGAGATTTAAACCTTTAAACTGAAATGCTCCGCTCCCTTCACTGGCTTCCGGTAACTGCTAGAATCCATTTCAAGACACTGGTACTTGCTTACCATGCTGCGAATGGATCTGGCCCTTCCTACATCCAGGACTGCATCAGCCAAACGGCTCGCTGCACCCGCACTGCGAGGGGGACCCAAGTTCCCATCAGCAAGAACACGTGGGTTTGCTATCCTGGCTCCAAAATGATGGAATGAGCTCCCCATTGACATCAGGACAGCAGAAAGCTTACACACCTTCCGGTGCAGACTGAAAACTTATCTCTTTCGACTCCACTTCGAGCGATAGAACTATTAACAAAGCACTTATATACTAATAAAGGGCTGGATTACCTAAAGCCAGTTGAGTAGCACTTGAAATGTTTTTGCTCTATGAAGCCTGATGTACTTATATGATTCTGTTTTCTTCAAGTTTGTATTTTGTTGGTCGAACGCACTTATTGTAAGTCGCTTTGGATAAAAGCGTCAGCTAAATGTAATGTAATGTACAAATGTTGGACACTTGGCGGCAGGCTGTGAACACACTGAAAGCATAGCTTAGCTTAGCACAAGATTGAAAGCAGCGGAAAGAGCTAGCTCCATCAGAAGCTTCAACAGTTAAGAAAGATTGAGCATTTCTATTTCTTAATTGTAACTTAGAAATAGAGACATCCCTATAAAAAAGGCTTACTTGTGGTCTGTTCAGTAGTGAGCAATAGAGTTGCTTCCAAGCACATAATTGCAAAAAACAGGGAGTCTGTAAATCCACATAGTGTTGGTGAAAGGAAAGACAACTGAATCAACTAGTTTTTCCCTGCTCTACAAAGCAAAAAAGGCAACATCATTACAAGAATGTCTGTAATGTTTTACTCTGACAATAAGTAATGCTTATTTGACATGAATCTAGAGTACAAATTCCACGTATCGTGCAATAGCGTTGCTTCTGCACGTCATTATTGCACTCTTGGAGAGACTGCTAGCTGTAGCATCATATTTAAAAGAACGACAATAGAGCAGCATCTTATCTAACTGTTTGGCAGAAAGCAAATCATACTACTTCCCCATATTGTACTACATTTGCTTCAAATACAGAAGCTCACTGGTTAAAACTGTCACCTCTCCGTAAGAGCTGTATTGTAATTGTGCAAGTTCACCTCCAGTTTCCTCACCATGCTCCAGTGCCGCTCAGGCGGGCTGGAGTAAACTAACCTCAGCTTTAAATGTTAGTTTGTCCTTCTTCCTCCATATGCAGTTCAAAATGGGTGAGATCCGGCCACAAGTGACCTTTAATTACTTTAACACGGGTATAAAAGTGAAAACAATAATTAGCGAGTAAAGTGAGGTAACAAAGGGGAAAGAATGTGACATTAGGGTTTCACAATACAAAAGAGACTGAGCGAAAACTATATTTCTTTGTGCCAAATTGTCTCTTGACTTACAACTTTGTGACTGTGCTTGAGAATGAACTATGAGACAGAAATAGAAACAACTGTGACTTTGATGGATATACTATTTTTCAGATGCACTGCTCTTAAATCCTAGCTGTCAGAATGAAGTGGTTATGTCACCACATGAATCAGACATTTATTTTGCGATGGCTCCCTCTGGAGGACGCACACAGAACATTAAAATAATCACTGCACTCTGGCCTTTGTTCTTACAGTAAGTCTAGATTTATAAATTGAATATTAAAGCCAGCCTGAGCTGTTTTGTTAAGTTTAATCTTACTGCTATAAATAAAATGTTATTGGTGCAAAGTGTCCTAGCTTCAGCTTCGTTTGAGTTAGTTTTACCCAGTTTAACAATCCCTCTGTGACATTAATTAGCAGTCGTCAACACAGGTAGTATTATCTTTTTGTGCGATTCACATAACGTCTATTAAATAATTACTGATGTCTCAGAAATAAGACAAATAAGACCACATGGATACAACGATTTCTGCTAGTCTCTTTAGTTTATTTATAGAAAGTGAAACGAAACAGGAACATTTACAGTAAGTAAGCCTCAAAGACTAAGCACAACACTGTCTTACATTACATTGTCATAAATATTAATAAAAACACTTTTAAATCACATCATAAAAGTTGGCTACTGATTTATTTTTGGTCCAATAGACTGCATGCTGTAACAGATCTGAACAGATTTGAGGCAAAACATTTCATGTTGGTAAGGCTGCTTCAAACTATCCAATATTTGTTCATATTACTGATAAAAAAAAAGTAAATCATAAATCATAGATATGTTTTAAGATGTGATTAATGTAAAGTGAAGCTCAGTGCAGAGAGGAATGCAGATCTTGACAGACAGACCATGGGTTTAATAGAGCGGCTGTAAGGAGAAGCGTTTGAGTCACGCAGCGTAAAGCCAGTGACCGGAGAAGTAGCTCTCTGTGCTCAGGCCGACCGTCCCGCCACTCGCCTCCAGCCACACTTTGTCCCCCGCCCTGAGCCAGAGCAGCATGTCCCCTGCTGACATGTGCAGACCTCCCAGAAAAACCTTGAAGCTGCGCAGCGCCACCTTGTTGTTACGAATCAGGTCTACATTTCCTGAACTGAGGAAGGATTTGCAGAGAAAGCTGAATTGATAAACACCGGGCATGACGCAGGTGAACTGGCCCGTCTCTGTGCTGTATTGGCCCTGTTTGTTGTAGATGACCTCTTGGAAACGGATGATTCTCTCTGAGGAGGGGCTGTACTCGCCCAGGCGGACGGAGAAGGCAGAGTTTGACAGTGAAGCATTGCTGGGAAGAGCTGGCAGCTGGTCTTTTTTTATGTTTGATGCTAATGGATCTGCAGAGGAACAAAAGTATAGATTACTCTGCTTACTTGGTGAAATACATTTATGACCTGCTGCTATACATAGCCCATGCATTCAAAATCTGTACTTAATTACCCTTTCGAGATACTTGAGTATTGCATTTGTCTACTACTTAATACTTTTTAAAACGTTTGAATAAATTAACTGTTTATAATTTCTTGTAGTAATTAGTAGTTTTTTTGAAGATCATCTTACAAAACATGACACACAGTTCGGTTAAAGAAATCTCTCATAAAAACTTGACATGTTTCTTCGTTGTCTTTTAGAATAGCTAAAGAACAATTACACCTGGTACCAGATGATGCATTAAACAAGCATTTCCTGTAATTGGCCGTCTTTTTTAAATAAAAATGACAAAAAAATAGGTAATTCACAGTGAGTCTCGTTTCTTTGCTGTGGCACTGTTGTTTCACAGGTAGCACATGCTGCGGGATTTTCTTCCTTTCAAGCCGTCTTTTATCAGTAAATAAAACATTTCCGACTTCCAAACATTGGCTGATCTGGGGCTGATAATTCAGTTCCGCTGTCAGAACTAAATTGAAAACGGCTGAGGATTTGTCTGTGCACAAGAATGTTTAACTCGACCACTGCCCGGGAAATGGTTTTAAATTGATCAGTCACGGATTGAATTGTTGAAATTTCAATGAAGATACTGAGGTTAAGTATTTTTTTTTTTTAAATGTGTTGGGTAAATATGTGTTATTTTCATTTATTTTGACTTGATGAGTATTACAAAGTAAAAATAAACAAAATAGACTACCTCGTTGTCCTGGAGACCCCTCACATCCTGAGGTTCCTGATGTACCTGGGCAGACTGGGGTATTTGAGGTTCCTGGGAAACCTGGGGCTCTTGAGGTTCCTGATGTGCCTGGGGAGACTGGGGTATTTGAGGTTCCTGGGAAACCTGGGGCTCTTGAGGTTCCTGATGTGCCTGGGGAGACTGGGGTACTTGAGGTTCCTGGGAAACCTGGGGCTCTTGAGGTTCCTGATGTGCCTGGGGAGACTGGGGTACTTGAGGTTCCTGGGAAACCTGGGGCTCTTGAGGTTCCTGATGTGCCTGGGGAGACTGGGGTACTTGAGGTTCCTGGGAAACCTGGGGCTCTTGAGGTTCCTGATGTGCCTGGGGAGACTGGGGTACTTGAGGTTCCTGGGAAACCTGGGGCTCTTGAGGTTCCTGATGTGCCTGGGGAGACTTTGGCTCTTGAGGTTCCTGGGGTTCCCGGGGTTCCTGGGTTTCCTCTAGGTTGTTTACAGCCTGAACATCAAGACAATTTAGAAGTTAAACAAATATAACAGTATTAACATTTAAGGATTAACATTTTTATTTATTTGCAAATGTCAGTAAACCCTGAATGTTTTTTGTTTTTGGAGTAACACCTTCACCAAGATGTCAAAAAGTTAAGAACTACAGGTGTTGCTTGATCTGAATGTGAACTTTCATTTGGCTTCATTCTGCTCTTAAAATATGACTGCAACATGTTAGTGCTTAAAACCAACCTCTTCTTCCCCAACACCTCTACAGTTATCACCCGGACCTGCAGGACCAAACACCACATATGAAGAAGGGTTAAGACAGAGTCAAGAAGAAGAAATAAAAACACCTGGTTAAAAGCGGAATGAAAAAATACAGTTAGGAGAAATGTCTTAATTCAGATTAGTAATTTGGACCCCGTGGTTGTTTCACCTCTGCACCTGTCCCTCCAGGCGAACAGGTTCAGGCGTCGGATGCTGGAGCAACGGACAAGTCTGTTGCGGTTTGAGATGACGCTGAAGGCGTCGGTAGGGATAGACGAGATGCCGGTGTTGTCGCAGATGATCCTGGATATGGTGGAGGTGGACAGAGCCGCTCTCTGAGCCGGGGAGAACACGCCCTGGTTCTCGTACCACAGCCTGATGATATCAAACAACAGACTACGGTCAGCAGATCATTTGTTTGTAAAGCATTTATTTTCATGATTGTGCATCTGACATTTAATATAACATTTATAAATATATAACACAATTTATTATGTCAGACACATTTTTTTTATATGTATACATTTTGAAAATCTAATGCTCAACATAGCCATGAATATAAGTACATGTACAATTTAACAGTTCATCAACAAAACAAAAATACTGTAATCTGTGACACTATACATGTAGATTGTTAGAAATCAGAACTAAATGTGATTCACATGCAGTGTTGTGCTAGTTACTGAAAACCAGTAACTAGTTACCATTACTAGTTACTTCATTTCAAAAGTAACTCAGTTACTTTACTAGTTACTTACACAAAAAGTAATGCGTTACTGTGAAAAGTAACATTTTAGTTACTTACACAAAGGGCTCCCATTAATGCCCTTATAGCCTTCCGTTCAGTACTGTTATTGCATTGGAGAATAATACAATCTGTTGATCAACTTGACATGCATTATATGCAATCTGGATTGCATCGATATTAGCTGGCTTTCCATTTTTGTATATTCTTTCTCCAGGTAGTTGGAAAAAGTTTTCCGTCCCATATGCCGCCCGGACATGCTATCATGCTAACTAGCTCCCTGAAAGCGGGTGACTCCACTGTAGCAATAGCCTGCATGTGTTCTACAACATACCGTGCAATGGCTTTATCGACTTTTCCCTGGCTAGCAGTCCCTTGGTTAAAATCCAGCCGCTGTTGCTTAGGTGGAGGTGGAGTGGCGTCGGCTGAGTCTCTGTGGTCTTAGCTACTAGCTTCGTCCCAGCATGTTGTTTTTGCAGATGTTTTAAGAGATTTGAATTACTGGTTTGGGCAGTAGATAGGATCTTTGACCCGCCAAGACACAACTTACATTTAACTAAAACGTTATTTTCTTTGTGCTCGACAAAAGTGAAATAGTGAGAATATCTCCAGGTGGAGAAACTAGACTTGAGCTCCGCCGCCGCCATGATAGTCTTGTTAGTAAACAACACAAACACGCCCACAGCGCGTCTCCGCATGTGACACAGGAAGTATCTAAGTACATTTACTCAAGTACTGTACTTAAGTACAGTTCTCATCTCTGTTCGCCTGGCTGTTGACTATATAAAAAAAACTAATGGAGTAACGCACCATGTAGTAACGGTAACTGAGTTACTGAATTAAAAAAGTAATGTGTCAGAGTACTAGTTACTGCCAAAAATAACGGCGTTACAGTAACGCGTTACAGTAACGCGTTACTTTGTAACGCATTAGTCCCAACACTGTTCACATGTTATTATCTACATGGACACTGACCTGTCCCCCTGGCGGATCCTCTGGAACTGTGATGCGATGAGGCAGGCAAACAGAGGCCCCACGCGGCCGCCACGGACAAACGGCTCCGCCACGCCTCCCATCCAGACGTCGATGTTGGCGGGGGTCCCGTAGAGCTGCAGCAGCTTACGGGCCAGGTTGGTGTTGTTCAAAACTTGAGCAAGCTCTCTCTGGTTCCCTGGCTGAGACAGGCCACATAACTTGCGCCAGGCGTTGTAGCCTAGAGGAGAAAACATCGGGTAAGCAAATAGTGGATGAGGACAATAAGAAAGAAAGAAACATCAGAGAAGGATGATATTCAAAGTGAGGGATGTACCAGGCAAGCCGTGGTCACGCCCCCTCTGCATGTTAAGAGAACCAAGATCCAAAGCCAGAGTCATCACAAACTGGAACAAGCGCTCCCTCAGAGCGTCCACCATCATGTGATCCTGAGTGTTCAGCTTAGCAGGACGTCCAACCAGACCACGGAGCACGGGGTCAATGCCCCCTGGGGATATTTAAATAGAAGTTAGGGTGACAGATTGACAGGTTTGAGAAGCTGAAAACAGCATTCTCTGCCATTATTGCATGAAAAAGTACTTTAGCAGTAAATTGAATGTTATTTTTCTGTCCATAGACACTTTTTTTGGTTGACTTATAGTTGCATTTCTATTTGATAAGTTACTCCACTGCTCTCTGTACAACTCACCCTCGAAGACGACCCTCCAGGGGGTGAAGAAGGCCTCGTACAAAGGCACGCTGGGTAAGCGGGAGTTCTCCCTGTAGTTATCATCCAGACGGAATACGACAGGCTGGATGGCCAAGTGGGCGAAGCGGTAAGCTGCTGTAGCGAAGACGTTGGCGATGCCGGGGTCCACGTTAGCATTGTAGCCGGGGTAACGGCCAAGCTGTCTACGCATTGCTTCAGGACCCACAATGTGAGGCAGATAGTCCCTGAACACAAACAACTGGGAGAGACAGAGGTCGATCTTCAGTAAAACATTTTGTTGTAAGGATAGGAATATATAATCATGAGTGACCCTCAGGTTTTGCTACCTGTGTGTAAGCCCCCATGATTTTGCGGGCCTCCTGGTAGAGCATCTCACTGTCCCACTGCGGGTTTATTCTCTTCAGCTGCCGGGCCAGGCGGTTGTGCTCACGCATGAACAGAGTGTGAATAGATGTGAGAGCGATGTTCTCGTCAACGCGGACGTCACCTTACAGACAGAAATGTACCCATTAGATAGTTGATCAGAGGAGTGTATGTCCTTTAGAAATATTGGCTTTATAAATGATTCATCATGTCCTAATAGTTTCACACATAGGCATGAAGAGGTTACAAAATGGAACATTTGCTTATTTACCTCTACTATAAATTACTTTCTATTTTTCTTAACTCAGTTATTATATCTTTAATATAGTGAAAACAATCTATGTTCTTTTTCTTTGATACTAGAAATTATTTAAATGCACACATGATGCATTGTTGTGGTGATTATTTAAATGTTATGTTATTAAGTCTTCAAGATACTTACTTATATGGACACATATACATATATAATTACAAGATAAGACACACCTCTGCATTACAATATAAGTATTGAAAAAATGATTTATAAGACATTTATATCACCTTAATGTGGTTGTATATGGAAAAGTGTCAACTAAGCTATTATAGTGTAGCTATTAATCCATTAAAATATCACCTTTAGAGCCATTAGTGACAGGAAGAGACTTACCTGCGATGAAACAGGGCACCTCTCTGGCGTTGGTGTCGTTGGTGACCCTCCTGCGAGTGGCGCACATATTCGCCTGCATAGGGTGGAAGGGCAGCAGCTCACGTCTGTTGTCTCTGAACTCGGTGTTAACGCGCAGCAAACCACCGTCACTGTCGGGATCTCGGAGATACTTGGCGAGCTGCTCCTCAGAGCCGTATACCTGGCCCAGATCCAGGAAGGCCGTCAGCGCGTTGATCTGCTCTCTCTTTTTAGGTTCCCCGCCAAAATTGTAGGCGGAGTATCCTGAACCGCAAACAGGGGCCGATCTGAACGCAGGGATGCAACTGTTTCGGCCGGTGGGCAAGCGGGGGTCGCCGGGAGGAATCTGATTGTAGGAAAGAGTCCAAGAGTTATGGTTGGAAGCTTTTAAGTGAAAACAACATGTATATATTTATTTTTGAGCATTCACACCAACCGGGATGGGTATGCATGGCTCGGTTTTCTCACAGCTCTCGTCACAGTTGATGCCGTTGCTGAAGGAGCGGATGCTGGGGGAAAATGGCGTGATGGTGAGATCATGGTCGTTCCATTGACCAAACATGGTCACCATGTGAGTGTATTCTCGGTCGTTGACCACGCCCGCGTCTGTTGTGCTCAGGATGTTGTTGGACACCTGTCGCACCTGAAGGTGGAGGACAACTTGGTTTTAATTTAAATCTGCATTTACGTATATTAATCAAGGTGAGTGTTTGCGATTTGAGGTTGTACCAGTGGGAGCGAGAAGTTGTTGAATCTTCGAGTTATGTCCCAGCCCTTCGGTTGGGAGATGGCGTCGTCATACTCAGCAGGAAGCCAACGGGCGAAAGGGGTGTTGGAGGATCCGAGGCGCGGGTTTTTTCTAAAAACAAATAGAAAATGGTCATGTTTGGAAACGCTGCTTGAGAAATCCTAGGTTTACACATCTCCTGTGCCTCAAGATGTTTAGGTGTATTTCAAAAATAATTTCCTCTTAAAATGTAAGCCACAATTGCTCTCACAATTGCTCTCATAGACCTTAAGTTTCCACTAAATCAACACAGATTGCTTTTTTGAATGAAAAATACAATTTATTTTTACAAACATTGACAATGTATTTTTGTCCAATATGGTGTTTCAGAAGTCAAAATAAATGAAAATGCTTCTTAGATTAAAAAGTGAATTTTTTCAAAAAACATTTATGTTTCTCTTACATGTTGTTGCAGACGCTGGTGGCTGTGCGATACCTGTTGAGGTTTGGTGTTGTGCGGCATGAAGGAAAAGTGACTTGACTTGCACATCCAGTTATTTCTGACAGCTTATTCAGGTCCTCTTCAGAGAGCAAATCTGTACAAAATATATATTTAATAGAGTCACATGTCTGGTTCATAATTGCAGCCTTGAAATGCTCCGTGCCTATATTACAAAATGGTAAACCTCAGAAACCAGGAAAAGTTGTGAGAAAACAATGTGATCTCTGTGTGTGTCTGCAGGTGTTCTCTTTGTTTGGTGCCACATGTCTGACCTGTTACGTTGAATGAGCGTTTGTGCACATGATGCACCCTCTCCTGTAGCAGGCGGAGGGTTTGTGCCATGTAGTCTGCAGATCTCACAGCTGAGCGCGTTCCACCGCGAGGCTGCTTCAGCAGGCGGAGAGCATCCTGAGGACGCACCACCTCTTTACGGACCCGTCTCAGACTCCTGGAGGAGAAAAAGTCACAAAATCAAACAATTAATTTAAATTGTTATTTTTTGGGAGAATCGTAACCTTTTCCATACATTTTTCTGAAATAATGCAATAAATGGCTTGCATGCAAATTAAAAACTCTTTAGTGTACATGATCGCAGAATTATATTAAAATATAAATTACTATTTTAAAATGAACTCACTCTTCTCTTGAGTACTTGTAAGCATCGTCAACAATTTTCTTTGCCTCCTCAAAACAGGTTTGAAGAAGAGGACTGCCGAGTTGTTCCCCTGCGAGGAACACATTTGTCAAATATCGCAATCATTTGGAATTAACCAGTAATGTTACACAAATAGAGAATTTAAACAGTGTAGCTTACCTGCTGGTTTGGAGTGAGCAGGAATCAGGCAGACGCCCAGCACAAGAAGGGCAGAGAGAAGCATCTCTAAGAAAAAATAAGAAAAAGTCAATACAAAAACTAAATCTAAAGTTGCTATGTTTTAGCATAATGTTACACCAAAATATCAAAACATCCCAATAAAACACAAATGTTCTTGCCTGTGTCTGTGAAGACTCCTGTGAAGATTTGAGTTGCTCTTGAAAATGTGGAGTGTGTGATGCTGTCTCCTTCTTATACTCAGCGTGAGGCCTCGATGCCTCGCCCCCGAGCTGATTAAGTGAAGATAATGCCCGTAAAATGCAGTTCCTTCTTCCTTCTCTCCGTGTTGCAGCAAACCCTTTACCCTTATCAATTATTGATTCTGGTCAACGCAAGGCAAGGCAATGTATTTGTATAACCCAATTCAAAGTGCTTTACAGGATAAAACATAAAAACACAATTGTTTGTTTGTAGCCTTTATTTAACAAGGTGAAGCCCCTTGAGATCAAAAGATCTCTTTTTCAAGGGTGACCTGCAGGACATTAGTTACACATGTAACATAAAAACAACAGAACAACAATAAGGATGACAAACAACATAATGTACAGGGTACAGTTTACAAACTCTATTTACAGTGACAGGTACCATGAGTATCAAACAGCATGTCACCCAGCAGAGTTTTAAAATGATGCGGGGGAACCAAAGTGCTCAGTTTTAAACATGTTTGCAGACTGTTCCAATTTCTTCCCTTAGACAGTCCTAGCACTTGGCACATTTAATAAAACAACATCATGAGATCTCAGGCAATATGTACTTTCAATTCGTCGAGAGATCAGAGAGCAGATATAAAAAGGTAGTTTACCCAACATGGCTTTGTAAATGAACATGTACCAATGACTGAGCCTCCGTACAGTTAGTGAAGGCAGACCTGCCTTGGCATACAGGGTACAGTGATGAGTAAGTGCTTTACAGTTAGTAACAAATCTCAGGGCACTGTGATAGGCGGCATCTAACTTTTCCAGGCAATGGGCAGGTGCATTCATATACAACAGATCACCATAGTCCAGCACAGGTAAAAAGGTCACAGTGACTAGCCTTTTCCTGGCTTCAAAAGAGAAACAGGACTTGTTTCTGAAAAAGAAACCTAGTCTAACCCTCAGCTTTTTAAGCAGGTTATTGACATGAAGTTTAAAAGTAAGACAATCATCAAGCCAGATACCTAGGTATTTATAACTGGTAACCACTTCAAGTACTTGTCCTTGCATAGTAACAATATCCAAAACAGGCTCTGGTGTCTTTTTAGCTTTTGAAAATAGCATTACCTTGGTTTTATCAACATTTAAAATAAGCTTAAGTTCAGCAAGCTGAGTCTGAATAATGTTAAAAACAGCCTGTAATTGAACACCAGCCTCCTTAATGGAGGGACCTGCACAGTACATCACGGTATCATCAGCATAAAAATGTAAAGTAGCATCATCCACATTTTCACCTAAACTGTTGATATATATGGAGAATAAAAGTGGACCTAAAACAGAACCTTGAGGAACACCAGCAATGTTTAACCACTCAGAAGACAGCCCATCAAAGTGAACACATTGGGACCTTTCAGAGAGGTAGTTCACAAACCAACCCACTGCATGGCTGGATATGCCGATACTGAGTAGCCTCTGCTTTAAGATGCGATGATCGACGGTATCAAACGCTTTGGAAAGGTCAATAAATAGAGCTGCACAACTCTGCTTATTGTCTAAAATACTCGTAATGTCATTCACCACTTTCATTGTGGCAGTGATGGTGCTATGTTGTTTTCTGAAGCCTGACTGATGTTTAGACAGGATATCATTTTTACATAAAAACTCCTTTACCTGTTCACTCACTAGGTGTTCGAGCACCTTCGCCAGAACTGACAATTTAGAGATTGGCCTATAGTTATTTAAAATAGTTGCCTCCCCTCCTTTTAGTAAAGGCAAGACATCAGCTGACTTCCATACTTTTGGAATTGCATTTGTGCTGAGGGAGAGGTTAAAAAGAGTAGTAAGAGGAAGAGTAATAAAATATGCAGCTATCTTTAAAAAGAAAGGTTCTACGTTGTCCGGGCCAGCCGGTTTCTTAGGATCTAGCTTGGTTAAGACTTCATGAACAACATTGACAGTAAAAGGAGTAAAACTGAAAGGGTTTTCCAGACCACATTGTTCAGAGTCACGGATTGGGGTGTTCACAGAAGCAGAGTTAGTCACAGAATCAAACATAGAACCGCAGGACACAAAATGCTCATTAAAGCAATTTAACATAGTGGCCCTGTCCGATATAGTGCCAGATGCTGTGGATATATACAATACATTTGAATATGGTCAAAGTGAGAAGAAACACATAAACACACAATTAAAAGAAAGAAAACCATGTTTAACAGTTCAAAAAATAGAAAATTAAAAAGCCATGTTAAGAAGAAATGTTTTTAGACCTAATTTCAATTATTCTAAAGTGCTAGCCATTCTCAGATGTTCTGGGAGTTTGTTCCATGCATTAGGAGCATAAATGAAGAAAACTGCTTCCCCACGCTTTGATCTCACAAACGGAACAGTGAGCCGGCCTGCGCCTGAAGACCTGAGGGGTCTGCTGGGTTCGTACTCCTGAAAGAGGTCCTTGATATATTTGGGTCCTAGCCCGTTTAGTGCTTTATATGTGTGCAATAAAATCTTAAAATCAATTATATCACTCACTGGAAGCCAATGCAGCTATCTCAGCACTGGAGTAATGTGATCTGTTTTCTTTGTCCGGGTTAACACTCTGGCAGCAGCATTTTGAATTAGTTGGAGTTTACGGAGTGATTTATTTGTGAGGCCTGTGAAGATGCTGTTGTAGTAGTCAAGCTTGCTAAAAACAAATGCATGGACCATTTTTTCAAGGTCCTGCATGGACATAAGGTCTTTAATACGCAAGATATGTTTTAGATGGTAGTAGGCTAATTTTTCCATTGCTTTGATGTGGCTGTTAAAATTGAGGTCAGAGTCTAAAATTATCCCTACGTTTCTTGATTGTCTTTTGGGTTCGAGTGATAGTGATTCCAGGTGTGCAGCGACTTTAACTCTCTCTTCTTTGGTTCCAAAAACAATTACTTTGTTTTTTTTCGTATTGAGCTGTAAGAAATTACGGCACATCCAGTCATGTATTTGTTTTAAACATGTGATCAATAAATCAGTAGGACAGTATTCATCTATAGAAAGTGATATGTAGATTTGGGTGTCATCCGCGTAATTAAGACATGAAATGTTGTTATTTTTTATTATTTGAGCAAGTGGCAGCATGTACAAGTTGAATAGAAGAGGCCCGAGGAACTTACTGTATGTGAAAACTGTGATGTTTAATAAGTAACTGCATTATATTATACTACCATTTACAGTATTTTAAGTGGGAAGGTATGTAAGCTGTTGAATACATTATTTTCTTATTTTCATCGTTTTTTGTTTTTAAAGCATTTTTATACTATTGAAAAAAAAAAAGGTCTACTTTTTGACATTCTGTGGGCACATTTTTTAAATTTGGATCCAGTCTTTTTTTTTAACAGGCGAAATATTTTGTATCCCAAATGTTGGAAAAAACACTTTTTTACATATTTTTGATAGCCAACAGTAAACATATTAGCAGCACTTTGACAGTTTTCTTTATATCGCTTGTTTACTGATGTTGCCATTTTGTGGCTGATGGCCCTCAGTGTTACCACACATAAACTGACTTGATTTCTCAGAGTCTTTAAAAAGAAGAAGGGATGAATCGACAGAAAGATAACTAATTGCCATCTATTTTTTAGTAGTTGCAGTAAGTAGTTTTCTATTCAAAATAGTCACACAGAGGATCGGAGGTAAATAATTTGCGTGAGACGTTGTGTAATGTTCACCTTTCAACTGTATGTGTTGGGTTGTGTGAGAAGCCACAAGATTGCTATAGGTACAAAAGCCCTTTCATAGTTGTCACCCAAAACTTTAAAAACAAAGAACAAATGCTGGAGAAAGCCGTCGACCCGTGAAGAGACATTGCTAAACAATAACTTACTGACTGTTACTGATTAATGTGATTTGCAGGGTGTTATATCAGGAACTATTTTAGTCCAAAACACATTTAAAAATCTTTAAAATGATTCTATTCTAACAACCTATTTTTATTTAAAGAAATATTTCACTTTGTATGGCCGTCAGTTGCTGCAGCAGACTGAAGTAGTAGGTCCATGCAAAAAAGTCAAATTTCAGTTTTCAATTTCAACCCAACATGTTATTGTATCCGACATTTGAGTTGTCATAATTAGAATAAAAATGGACAGATACCTTATAACACCAATATTGGTTGATCTTTAAGTAAACGTAAGTGGCAAGTTGAATACAAAAATTCCCTAATTTAATAACAATGGGACATTTCATAACAATGGGATGTACAACCCCGGAAAGATTATTAAAACAATGTTTTAGTAATGTTTAGCCCTCTTTGTGTAGTTGGAGCTCCCAGCTTCCACGTTGGCAAAAGTCGGCCCCCTGCCGGAAAATGATTTGAAATAAAACTGTTTATCGATTACTATTGCCTCCTTTTTATTTGTCCGTTTACATTCTGTGTCACAATAATGTGATGTGAATCAAAATGTATTTATTGGCAAGTCTTTCCAGGCAAATATTAATGTATTCATTTAATTAATTACTCTATAAAATGTTGATCGATTGACAGATTTATCTTTGCACATCATGAATGAGCATCATTTTTTCCCCCCTTACTTTATAACGTTAAGGCAATGTGAAATAAACAAATAGTCTTACCATGCAGGAGAAATAATATTTAAAAACCCTTTAATTTCATACATTTCAATGAGAGTTACATTTTAATGCTTTTTTACCAAAGTAAAGGGTCCCTTTTCTCTCAGAACATCATTGTGTTTGCAACATGCGCCACAGAGTTGCTCTAATCATTAACAGTTCCCTCTTTGGAGGAAGTAAAAAAGCAGAAACGTACAGCAATGGCTGAAACGCTATTAGTCAACCTGAGGGTGTGTTCAAGACCAAAGGGTGCTGTTGGGAAATCCAGCTTTTATAATCAAGCAAAGATTCTGATCTGTCATGGAAAGAATATCGTAACTCAAATTGACAAAAGGCCAGGTTATGTAGTTCATCATTTAGTGAGTTGCAGCTTCAACAATGCCCCACAGTTTTCTTGGTTAATTCAGTGTAATTC